GCTTCCATATGAACATAGTATACAAGCTGTTTATATAAAATATTCCACTCGTATAAAATCAAATATAGGAGTTTCTTTATGCGTGTACTCTCCATTCAAAGTATTTATAATTGGGTGGCTCGGATGGGTAATACTAGAGCATGTGCCAGGCCCGGGAGCTGGGTTTGGGCTTGGCCAAAGGCAGGCCTACCCAGTTTGGCCCGACCCTATCCTTATTTATTATTTTTATTTTTTTAATTCCTGTCCGGGAATAAAGCCAAGCTAGCGTTGGCCCGTTGCCAACCGTACACTTACATCGCTTGGTTCAAACTTCAAAGAGTTATAAAGGAGGATTTTTTCATTCCAAAATATTGGTAACCACCTAATAATCACGGGATGATTATTTTTAAAAGTTTAAGGTGCTGTTTATGTAGAGCCTAGGCTCTAAATAATGAAATCAGAGCCTACCTTTAAATAATATCAAGAAATGTAGTTTTAACTATTGGAAATCTTTGTGATAGATTTAAAATATATTTTCATATTTATTTATAAAGTTCAAAGTTTCAAAAATAGTATAGATCGACAGATCTATGAAAACTTGAAAATTGACGATCTAAAAATGCGTTACAAAATACACTATTTCCAAAACTTGAAATCCATTTTTTTTTCATGTCCGTGCATCTTGATGTCAAGATGATCAATTTGAAGATATTTGGGCATCAAAACAACCTCTTCTAGTGAACTTTTTTGAGGTAGGCTCAAATTTGATTGTTTAGAGCTTGGCTCTATAAAAACTTATCCTTTATTTTTTTTTTTTAAGAAAAAAGATTTTGGACTTCCTATACACTTACATCTAATAGTACAAAAACTGGGTAGTCTCTATTCACTCTCAAAACTTCTTTCGCACGGTACTTTCTTTTACTTTTACTTTTTGTCTTTTTTGGGTTGATCCCCAGGTCTAAGAGGTTATTTCCCTTTGCAATGATATCCCTAGATGGGTATTAACCAAGTGAGCAAATGAATATTGTTATGCGAATCTGTTACTTGTTCAGGTTAACACTAATATCATTGAACTTCTTTAAATAAAAATCGGATCCGCGGTTCGAATCCGTTATATCCATACCTAATGTTTTAAAAATCGGCAACGGATTGGGTTTCGCCCAACCTGTCTGAGGTTATATCCATACCTAGTGTTTTAAATCGGCAACTCGATCTGAGACAGTTATATCCATTCCTAGTGTTTTACAAATTGGCATCTTGATACGGATTGGGTATCGCCCAACCTGTCCCGGAGTGTATAGAAAATTGGGATTCGATTTTTTTATTTAAAAATTGAATTAAACCCTCACAACTATGCATCAAGCCCTTAAACCGCTTACACGTAGGCCCGCAGCACGAATACCTATTTCTCTAGGTTGGAGCGATTTCTTTATATGACTTTTTCTTTCCACATCCTTTCGATGTGGGACAATTCATTCAATAAACTTCATATCTAATAACACTATTAGATGTACTATATTACGTGGGTGCACTATTAAGTGGGGATGGGCACGTTATGAATAAGAAGGGAGTACATCCGATGGTGGCAATTAAATTATATTATAAAAAAAAAAAAATTATTAAAAATAATAATTGGGTGCCCTCCACCTCTATCTTTCACCAAAAAATTTTAAATTTACTTACCAACAAAAAAACATAAAAACTCTATTAGGCTATTATCTCATGGGATTAATTTATTATATGATTAATAATTAATTAATTAATTAATTAATTGTGATTAAAAAATTAGTACTAGCTAATAAGATATTAAAAAAAGCAAGAAATAATACTAATACTAGTTTATTGAATATTAAAAAAAGTATTAGTTTAGATGATATTTTAAGAGAGAAAAATAACACAAACTCATACCACTTTAGAATTTATTTCAAATTGTTTTATCAATTATCCCACATTGTAAATATAAATATCTTTAATTTATTAATAACCAATTCTTGTATTTCACTTATTAATTTATTTATATTATAAGTTTTATAATATATTATTTTTCTTATAATTGTAAATAATATTTTTTAAATTAGATGATATTATAAGATATTATATATTTTTATTTGTATAGTAAAATAATTATAAAATATAAATTTATAAACTAACAACTTCAATTTCAATATATATTATTATAGTTAGTTAGGTTATAATAATTTTGGATGAGTAAACCAAATTAATAAATGTTTGATACTTTGATGTGATACTAATTTATGTGAAAAATAAATTTTTTTAATCTTATATTATGGATGTGTTTTCTAATATTTTTAAATTATTTTGATATAATAGTATAATACTATATTACAATTAATAATTATACTGACATCCAGACAGGAGAACAACATTTAGTGTGCACCTATTTTTACAAAATAATGAAAATACATAATGCATCACTCCTAATTTCTTTTAGAAATTAAAAGAACACTATTTTTAGAGATTTATAGTGATTTTTTAAAAAAAAATTTAAGAAAGAAAAAAAGGACAAAAATTATTAAAAATAATAATTTGTTGATAGGGCCCACCACCCCTATCCTTCACCAAAGAAATTAAAATTTACTTATCAAAAAAATAAAAAAGGCTAATTCTATTTGGCTATTAGCTAATTGGGATTAAAAAAAAAAAGGAAAATATATATTTATCCCCTATTTTTAACTTCTATATTTCATGAGATCCAAAAATTGAAAATATTGTTTGTATGCAAAAAGTTGTGGATCCATTTGACCATAAATTTTTTACTTAAAAGAACACTAAAATGACACACTAAAATGATACCCAAATTTCTCAACACTATTTGAAGGTGAGTTTTACTTAGATTGTTTAGAGCCTCGGTCCTATAGAACCCGCCCACCTTTTGAAAGGTGTTAGTGGAATTGTGTTAGTGACTATCGGGTGTGGGGTGCTACCACTTAGACCCAACCCACTTTCTCGTAAATTAATTTGATTATTTTCTACTAGGAAATGTTACGTAAATATCCTTGTTTTTTTTTTTATAGTGCCAAGGCCCCTTAGTTCTTGCAACTTGTAAATCCACTCTTTTTTATTTTCTTTGGGTAATTTAGTGGGAAAATAAGCCCTATCCGTTTGTAAAATAATTTGTGGCTTTTTAAATAAAAGCGGTAACGTGCAACTGAGGGTGCTACCACCATCTCGGTCTTTGTCTCAAATCCACTATTTCCTATCCAACTAAAGAAATCTACATTTATTTCCTAGGAAAGATACTGCTTATCCAACTTCTCTCGTCACCCTTTCACATGCGGTTTGTACAGAGTCAAGGCTAAACACACCTTCAAATAGTGTCGAGTAATATAGTTTTAATATTGAAAATCTTTCTGATAGCCTTAAAATATATTTTTATTTTTAATTATAAAAATTAAAAGCTTCAAAAATAATTTAGATCAAGCAAAACTTGAAAATTGACGGTTTAAAAACGCGTCACAAGATGTACTATTTCAAAAACTTAAAATCCATTTTTTTTCTTATGTCAATGCATCTTGAGATCAAGATGATTAATTTGAAGAGATTTGGACATAAAAAAAAAACCTCTTCTAATGAAATTTTTGAAGTGGATTCTAATTTGATTGTTTAGAATCTCTGCTCTATATAAACTTCTTCCTAAAAAAACGGAAGATACTTTTCCATCCTCTCATTAAAAATAGCTAATAAAAGGCGTTAGTCAATTTTAGCGGTAAAACGCCCAGGAACAACGGTCGGTAGGGGCGATAACGATGCGCCATACCAAACGCGCACATGGGACACCACTTACTTTCTATCTTTAAAATCACGTTGTACAGTACATGTCAAAAAAATAAAAACCAAGCCCATGCGCCAGCATCCACCATGTATAAGCAAAAAAAGAAAAAAAACACCCTTGGCTTCTCTCTCTCTCTAACTTTTGCATACGGTTGGCAATGGGCCCCGCCGGATAATATTAGGGCATGGGCAAGAAAATGTAGCTCGAGCACTAGATATGGCCCAACTTCAAAAAATTTATCAGAAGAGATTGTTTTGATGCTCAAATATCCTCAAAATGTGGGCATGAGAAAAAAAAATAGATTTTAAAATTTTCAAGTGTAGCATCTTGTAATTCATTTTTGGAGCTTAAATTTTCAAGATTTCATATTTTTATATATTTGTTTGATCAACACTTTTTTTAAGCTTTAAATTTTATAATTGAAGATAAAAATATATTTTAAGTTAAATTTTATAATTAAAGATAAAAATATATTTTAAGAGAGTAATGATTTTATGAGTTCTTCCCACACTTATATGTATAAGATTTCAAAAGATTACAATTAAATTTGGCACATATCTCTAAAAAAATTATCACATGGTGGTGAGATTTGATTTTTAACGTGAGACTCTACTTTTTAAGAGATCTATATCAAATTTAATGGTGATCTTTTGGAGTCTTATGCATGAGTGTCACCAGGTCTCACAATGTTATTTTTCATTTTAAGGTTACCACAAATATTTCTAATATTGAAACCACATTTCTTATTACTATTTGAAAAATGCGATTTACTTTGATTGTGTAGAACCTCGGCTCTATACAAACCGCACCCAAAGAGCTCTTTATCGACAAAAAAAGACATCCATTAGTGTCTCTCTCTAACTCTAGGACACGAAGGGCTCTTTATAGACAATTCCGGAAGACACCATCACTCTCTCTCTCTAACTCTAGGACACGAAGGGCTCTTTATAGACAATTCCAGAAGACACCCATCACTCTCTCTCTCTAACTCTAGGACACGAAGGGCTCTTTATAGACAATCCGTTTCTCTCTCTAGCTCTAGGACACGAAGCGCTCTCTATGGACACCCCAAAAGATACCCATTACTTTCTCTCTCTAACTCTAGGACACGAAGGGCTCTTTATAGACAATCCGTTTCTCTCTCCAACTCTAGGACACGAAGGGCTCTTTATGGACAATCGGTTACAAAGGCACCCATCACTTTCTCTCTCTTAACTCTAGGACATGAATTTGTTGGCCGAAGTTAAAAGACCGAGGCCCATGTACCAGTTGCCGCTATCAAGCTACAAAGTTGACGATTACTTTCTCTCTCTAATTCCAGGACATAGGAGTTTGTGGGCCTAAGTCAAAGAGACACGAAACCCATGTACCAGTGGCCACTATGAGCTAAAATACAAAGGAATCATATGAATAAGAATGAGCTGTTTTCACCATTTTCAAGCTCCCGTACGAGCACTGGGTATTGAGAAAATCTCAGCATTTGTGGGATTTGAAGGCATTCCGAGAAGAATTGATCGATCTGGTGTTGCAGGACCCGGATCAGAGGATTTCGGTACAGTTTCTGTGGGTTTTTTCTCACTCTTTAAATTGAAAAAAGACAAGGAGCGGATTTGAGAGGGAAGTATACTTTTGTTGGATTTTCTCTCTACAAGTTTGAACAGTGACTGAGGACAATTCGGATTCAGATCTCATTCACTATGAGTGAAATTTAATTGGGTTTTTTATGTATATCGAAATTGAGTAGAAATCAATGACTGGATATAATGGAAGTACATATTTGTTGGGTATTCTCTGGCTAAAATTTGAAGAGAAATCATGAGCTGTTTATGCTGGTGGGGTTGAAGAAATGCTGGGTTTCTAGGCAAAAAAACACACATACTGTCTCTCTCTCTCAAGATTGCTCTGGAAGAGGATGAGAGAGAAACCGACATCTCTGCAATAGAAGTGTTTACACAGATCTGGAAGTGTTTTCCGGGAATTCAACAAGATGGGAGCAACACAATCCACTCAAGAGCACGACGAAGAAGATGAAGATGAAGATGACGAAGAAACTGTAGAGAGAGAAACAGAGTCTCATAAACTCGAACAGAACGGAAAGAAGGTCCTTGAACAAGAACCAGAGGTCCTTCCATGCCATCCCTCTGCCTCACCATTGTCACCCCAATTGTCCTCTTTGGGTAGTCCCTATTTGGGGCCATCGATTAGGGTTTATGATCCCTATAACGTTCTCTCTCAAACCCATTTGCCAGTTAACCAGTCATTTGCAGGTGGATCATTGAGTCTCTGCAATTCAGATGAGGTTTTAGAAGAAGATACGAGAACTGAGGTTTTCTTTATAAATCATGGAGAGTGTAGCATGAACATGAGGCCTGATTTGGTTGGTGGTCGCTGGCCAAATGCTTCTCTCACTGCAAATGGTATGAGACAAGCTAGAGCTCTAGCTGTGTTCCTCAAATCCCAGGGGGTTGTCTTCAATGCTGTATTTTCTTCACCACTGGACCGAGCCAAGAGGACTGCCTTGTCTGTGTGTCAGGTATGGAGTTTTGATTCTCTCTCTAAATTTTTCTCTGTCATACATGATTTTACTTCGTTTGAGAG